AAAAAAAAAGACACTTAAATATAACATTTTACTAGTACACAATTCCCTCTTATCTTCTTTACCAAACTCTTCGAAACTTTCATGGTAGTCCTCACATTTCTTTCTCTTCTCACACATTTTTATAGGCTAAACAATCTAACCATTTTTTTATTGTTATTTGAGCGTTAGAGCTCATTAATCCTTTATTAGCATAATTTGAAAATGTTTTTCAACATGTTTGAACCATTTTTCAAGGTGGAAAAAGCCATTAAAGTTCAAATAATAGAATATAAATAATATGAGAAGATGCTCTTTGCATTGTAGCCAATTGCTACAAGCTAATAGTCAACTACTAAGGTTGCCAAGTCATGCTACGAAGGGTAGTTGACTATAGGATCATGAGTAAACCACTATTGAGTGACTTTCTTTTCTACTATCAAGGCTAATTGACTATAGGTTTCTGAGTAATCGACTACTACATTATTCATAGTATTTTATTGTTTAAAGTATCTGCTACATTCTCTTGGTAGTTGCCACTATACAGCTTCCAACTTTAGAATATTTATAGATTTTCATTTCAGAGGTTTGGAAATCAATCTTTTAAGCTTCTAAACATGATTTTTCACATATTTAGCTCATTTAAAGTCTAGGAAAACCTAAGGATCGATTAAACCTAACTCTAGCCATTGGTCTCTAAGATTGGTTAACTAAGTTTCATCTCATTTAAACCCATGTTGTATACTTTGCACCGAGTTAAATCAAGTCCTAAAAAGATAAAAACAAATAAGGAACTTGGAGCTTGATGCCTTCTTTTTCTTATTTTTTGGTAGCAGATCTTCATCTTAGTGATCTTCAAATTATCATCTTCTTTGGAAAGTAATGGATTGTCTTCTTTGCATTATATGACTTTCCTTGCCTCATGTAAATAATTGTTTCTTCAACTTTGTTAAGCTCAAGTGAAAATTGTTTTTCTGCAGCTACATACTTATACTTTTCAAACCATTAGTATTCTCAATGAGTTTGTTATCATGATCAAAACATATAAGGAGAAAAATGTTTCACATAGAGAATGGAAGTAAGAGACAAATGCAACAATCAGCGTCCACACTTCACTTTAGAAGATAATATGTGGCCAATCAACTAAGGAAGCAAGATGTGACTCACACACAAGGGATATGATAGGTTAGTGGATGTCCACATAGAGGCATGCTATTAGGAGGCCATGCGCCAAGTGCAATTAAAATTAGGACCATTAATTAGGCACTACACATGGATGAGTCGATCAGGCCGCTAATGGCCTAATGCTAACACACTCGATCAACTCGGGCCTACAACGTACCACATGTCCATCAAGGATATATAATAGAGCATGTGGACCAAGCTCCGACCACTTGATTAATTATCAGATTGCATTTCCCTTGATGTTCCTCATCTTCATCTATTCTGATGTTGCACAATCCGGGCACTCCTACCTGGCAGCTGACTGGCTCCTGGCTAGCGACGAACGGTACTTGAGAAGAAGATGGTGAAGGATTCCCGGGGGACTTGCCTGGTGGGAATACTTCGATGCTTAAGTTAGAACACTGGAGAAAGTTGTAAAGAGTGCAAAGAAGGCTAAGAGTGTAAGTCGCGCTAGATCATTGAGTTAGCTCGAGAGAAAGTTCGAGATATTCAAGATGTTCGAGAGAGCCCTTTCCTTCAACTAGGGGGATTTTATATACGAGCATTCTTGTCAAATCAGGCGTAACCGCCACTGGACCTCTGTCGCAGCCGTTATCTTCCAGGGTTGCGGAGGTAACCGTTGCAGAGTACTACCCAATCGAATGAGTGACACGTCCCGAAAGGATAGACACGCCACCATCTGTTGAGAGACGTGGGCGCAGTCTTGTCGGGCTGGCAGGGATTGCGCCGTCAATCAGGAGATGTGGTGTAGTCTGGCGGGTACGGTCTTATCAGATGGAAGCTTCCTGAAAACATCGCGTCGCTTAGTAGCGAGCTATCCTGTCGCGAGCTACCTTGTAGCGAGTTCCTGAGGGTACTGCGAGGTGATTCCTCTTGAAGTGGCCCTTGAGGCAGTTTTTCTACCTAAGTATTGGAGCGAGCTAGTTATCCTAGCTCGCGAGCTGGGGTAGACTTGTCTTGGAGTATTCCCTTTGTACATCGGGGTCCTCACAGTTCGCGCTATAGCGAGCTCTCCCTATGGCGAGCTGTGATGTATCGAGCTGTCCTGCGGGCTCATTACTTAGTCACAATGAGCCTGTTGTGTTGAGTCATGTCCACGTATCACCATCTCAAGAGGTCAAGTCAAATCACCCTCCATCATATTCCAATCCTCTTTTAAACAACCAACACAAAAATTAGGAACTTTTAATTTCTGTTGTAAATTGGTCCACGTCTTTCTATGACAAGTTAAGTGGTTGTTTATATATATATAAATAGAGAGAGAGACAAAGAGAGAGATAACAGGTGGTTGGAATGGGTCATTCGTCCCATCTGTGGACAACCAAACCGCTATGTTCAGTGTCATATACATTGTTAATTATAGCCCCCAAAATCATTTCTCGCTACTTCAAACCATGAGAAGTATTTTGTTTCAGCTCATACAGGAGTATCCTCTTTTAGTATTATCAAGTTATGCAGTTTTTGGAAATCAATAATCAATTGATTCCAATCTTATTTGGGAGCCACCTTAACCTTAAGGATATATTTGATTACCAAATTTCCAATCTGTTTTCAAAATTTCAAATTCAAACACCCTAATTAAATGTTTTTATTACCACACATCTTCAGCTAATTGCTAATTATTACCGTCTAGCACACAAACATAATTTCCAGAATTGCGTACCATCTGTGAAGAGTCGCCTCTCCTCAATGACATCCTAAAGATGAAAAGAATGGAGTTGATGGGGAAGGAGAGTTGGGTCAGGCCACAATTCACAAGTTACCCCAACCTGTTTTACAACAACTAGCTAGTAGATTCTTGGATGAAAAGCCTGTTTTTCATCATCTAGAGTATCAAGATCATAAATGATTCTAAGCTGAGAAAGATTGAGCTAGCTCAATTATCCTTACTCTTCCCCAGTTTATTTTTCAATAAGATACACTACTTTTGATTATTGTGGACAACTTTCTGATCCTGTATGAACTAATGGGGTTAGTAATTTTCCTCCAAACACACATTGCCTGATAAATGGTTCTCATTTTGTGAAGAAAATTCTTTAGAAATTTGCTGTGACAGCTTGAAGCATACCCATCAGTAATTTTCCTGACAGCTAAAAGCAGATGGGTATATGATTTCTTCTACTTGATTGGCAGAGAGATTATTGTTGTTTCTACAGTATATCACACAGCATTTCAAATCTTTAAGTTCATCTGTTCTACCTATCTAGTTACTTTTCTATTACTTGTATACAGGTCTCTACTTGGAGAGAGTAAGTTAAAATGGAAAAAGATTGTCTTGGGGATGTACCCCTAGAATTCCATGTTGCTGGTTAACTTGACCTTGCTTGGTCACACCTGGTACAGCCATCATATATCTCTAGAAGACTCCATTGTTTTTGGCCATGGGATTGTCATTGAAACGAACTAGTTTCACTGTCATGTAGTTATATCTGCTCCAGCATTAGACTGCAGTTATGATGTATATTATCTATCTGGGAGCTTGGACCCATTTTGGGTTTCACCATTTTATCAAATATCAATCATATATAGCCCACTTGCAGGTTCCTATTTAGTGCCATGCACTAAAGATTCTAACACCATCTTAGGGTTAGGGGCCTATATGTCTCATATATACCACCAAATATAATTAAGCTCCCTATTCTGTGTTTCCACTGTCCCCAGACCTTGTACAATTTCAACACCGAGTGACTAACACTACTCATCAACGAAGCTGATCCCCTTGCAAAGAGAACTTGCTGATGGTTGAATTGCGTCAGCCCATCACTCTCACCAAGACAGAAAAGACAGCACAAGAATCTTGGCTAGTGACTTACCTGATGGCATGTAGAATGTTGGAGACACAGTGAAGCCTAATTGCATCTTAAGTCAAAATACTATGGATGCAAAGGAGGAATGATGGTCCCCCTGTCACCTATCTTCATCATCAATAGTATCAAATTAAAGAAACCTCAGGGAGATGTGTGGTACAACCACCACGAAAAATGTACTTAGTCCAAATCAAATCAAGTGGTACCTGGGCTTCTGGGTCTTCAATCACTGTCACGGAAGTTAGGCTACAATGTAATGAAGTGGCAACACAATCAATCAAATCTACAGATTCGTTCACATTAAAAATCTCTCTTTTCACTCGTTCGCCTCTTCTTCGATAAGATGTATTTTTATTCTTTTTAATATAAAAAAATATTATTAAAAATAAAGAAAAAATAAGATCCCCTTCCTCTTCATCCTCTTCTTAAAGGAGACTTGTGTCATGCATTCTAAGTTAATTACCTGGGTAAGATGGAAAAACGAATTGATGAATTTTGTAAGATGTGACATATAGGCCCTGTTTGCTTTTTAGTAAGTTAATTACCTGGGTAAGTGCAGATAAGTGTATTTACCCATATTCTTTTGTTTTTTAAGTAAATAAGGTAATGACTGATTTAATAATAAAAATCTATTATTAAAAATGATATTTTTGTCGTATTCAAGTGTTAACAATTTTTTTCCTAAGTGAAAAAGTTATTTACCCACTTAGGATAGGAAAATAAACTTTCCCTCGTTTCCACATTAATCTAAAAAATGAAAATGAGATTTTTTGTCAATAAATCTATTGGCCAACTTTCCCCCCACTAAAAATCCAAAAAAAAAAAAACCCCCCCATAATATTCCCTAACAGCAGAGAATCGAGAGATATGAAAATCCCTTAACATCCTAGCTAGAGACATCTCTTCAGTGACGGTGACAGTTGACCAATCTGAGATCTTAATTAACATCCCATTGTGCAGTGATGTACTTGGACGGTTGCTTTTCCTTGTGCCCCATTAATGGCAATTCACATCGATTGGGTGTTTGGAATCCATTGCAATGGAATCATTCCGTATTGGTATTGGTTTGAGTTGTATGAGTGGATTTATAACAAGAATGAGATCATTTTAGCATTTTAAGAAATAAGTCATAAACAAAAGATTGACCAGAAATGGGTTCCTCTTTTTCATTGAGGGAGTGACAAATAGAAGTAATAAAAGAGGATTTCATTCCAAATATCCTTCCTTGTCAGTCTTTCACATCTTCCTCTTCAATCAAGTAAGTAGTTTGAACAATCCGTGCTGTGCTTTTGCTTTGCTTTACCTGAGAAAAATAATTGCAGACAAGAAATTATATGAGCAGGCAGTAAGAATCCAATACATGCTAGTCCATGCTACCCCTTGATATTGCAATGCAGCTCAATGCTACACACGGTTACTCACTCATCATCCATCACTCAGTCCACTTGGTACATAATCCAAGCTGGTTCATGAATAATGTTCCAGACCCATCTAGTCGGTGGGTCCATATACCGGACCCACATGCTTGCGTACCATATATGGACTATCCAAATGCAACTGACTTAATGGCATTGCCTGTAAAGAAATGGAGTGGTGGACAGATGGAACACAGGAAAATGTAGTTAGGCATGCATTTGGTGTCTTACAAGACTTACATATTATCCTGTAGCACGGTTGTTTCAGTGCTGGGTCATCGGCCGGTGCCGGAGGATCCTGACCGATTATCATATCGCAGCTCATATCATCGAAGTCTGCAGATCAAGAAGAAAATTCATAATTAAGATACCATGTGGGTTCAGCCATTTCAGCAGCTATAAAACGGCCCCTACAACTTCATTGATCATCATCACATGCATGACAAAAGCACGGATACATGGGCGATGTGGCACACTTTGATTGGCTACGATGCAGCCTAGGCTGTGTGCTCTTTGGGGTAGTGATTGATTAGTGAACTCTCTGTTGCTTCTGGTTTGGCTAAGAAGGCTCCTACCAAGGTGGAACCAGAGTAATGTGAATGTTAAGAAGGTTACTTGAGTTCTGATGCGTCTCCTTGCACCCTTAGTTGCCCTCCGTGGCCCCCTTCATTTTAGTGCACCAACTGTTTGATGTTATGCATGCAAGTGTTTGTGCATTAACACTGTTAAGAAGATACTGGAATAGTGCTTACTTGGTACCATGTTGGTAGGCATTCCTAATGTGTCCTTGATGAACCTTTGAGTAGGCATCTTGCAGAGGTTGATGCACATTCCTGCACAGCTTGTCTCCTCCAAAAACCTGCAACAAGAGAAAATAAATTAAAGGAAAGATGATGATGATGATGAGATGAGAGCATTTTAGGCCCAATTTGGTTGGTGGGTCCCAATGGTCTGATCAATTTGTTTCAAATGGACCAACTTGTGTCTTTCGTCCTTTGGGGGCCATTGAGGGCAAAGTTAATTAAAATATGCCATTTCAGGAAGATGGGTGTATTTGAGTAAGGTAGTTTTACCTGCATTTCTTGACGTGGACAACATTCTTTTCTCCTTCTCCTTCCATCTCCGACTCCTTCACCTTTGTTTCATGCATTCAAATTTTAATATCTATTTAGATCCAACCCAATAGAATAGAAGAACAAGATACAATGGCATCAGTGTAGGCTTTCTTCTTTTATCATTGGCATTTCTCTTAGGTTGTTGCGAAGACAAATTTTATAGAATTCAAATGACCATCCATTTCACAAAAGAAGAAAGAAAAGAAATAGAAAACGAAAGAAAAATTCAAATATATGCATCCAAATTTGTGGAACTCACCTTCTGCAAGTTCTTAAAATTCACATTTGACCCCAAAGGGTGAAATCCAAAAAGTTATAGGATTGGAGGGCAAGCCCTAAGTCTTAGTTTAGGAAGAGTGCAAATATAAATATGTATATTGTATAATGCAAATACAAGGTTTAAAATTTCAGAGATATGTTGCAAAAAGTGTATGGTAAAACCTTCGACAATAAACCTTCCCCCTGAGAACATGGATTTTGTTTATTTCAACTTTGAATGGCATAACCAAGGTTCAAACTATGGGAGTTCAAAATATTATGTTTTTATTTTCTATTTTTTTTTGTTTTTTTTCAAACATGTTCAAGAAGCTTGGTATAAGGCTGGTTACCCCTTAAAACAAGTCTTACCCCGAAACTCCTTATATTTTGCATATTGATGAATCATTGATATGATACATATTAGCCGATACATTGCGAAATTTTGATCCACTCATGGTGAAGTTGTTCTTGCTATGTATATAGTTTCTTCTTATTACATCCCCTAATTACCATTTTTGACCTTCTAATACAATGGGCTACTCCTCTAATCAAAATAATTAAGATCAAGTTTCAGTATCAAATTTATATTATGAAACATATTAAATTGTCAAAAAACACCACGTGTGTGTATAAACATATATTTTGTCAATAAATAATGTTTAATTATATTTCACATGTAATATATTTATTATTTTATATTTAATTTATATTTCTTAAATCAAATTTTAATTTTTTTATTTGTAAAAGATATTAAAAATTGTGACATTGTTTCTTAACAGTTAAAATATATAACTATGTTTTTTAATATCCAAAAAACACCGTAGAAAGCCATCTTATTAAGTTTGTATTTGAAGAGGAAACATATATTATCCATTTGTGTTTCTCCAAAAAATTCACAAACAGGATAAAAAATACAAAAAAAAGGGTTTTGCACATTTTAAGCTATGATACTTTTTTTTCTAATTTTTTCAAGCTATCATTTCAGGTTCGGTAAGATAGTAGGGATACTAATGACCAAACCCAAGAGCCACCTGATCCCTTTAAATGGTGTTGACTTGATTCAAAAACCTAATAACGCATCAACACGTTGCAAAATTTTGAACCTTGGTTTTAATTTTTAAAATCAACGGCAATTTTTAAATTAATCAGCTTTGTATGTCTCTATCATTTTTTACATGAACATACAAGCTAGAAAAGGAAATATTTCTTAGATATCCCTTTTTTGAAATTTTGAAAAACTTCACCTGGGGGTGAGCAAACTGTTCATTTGGTAAAAAATCGAACCAAATAAATCCAAGTTTTTAAAACCAAAAATTTAAATGAGAAACTGAAAATTTCAGTTCAATCTTCAATTATTTCAGTTAAAACTGAATTACAAGTCTATATATATTTTAATATATAATATAATATAACATAATATATTTTATACATATTATATATGTATTATATGTTAATATATATTATAGATAATATAGTATGTTTAATTCAGTTTTTTCGATTAATCAAATTTTTAAACCTAAAAACCAAAATTTTCGATTCGATTTTTTAATTTTAACCGAATAATGCTCACCCCTAACTTCATCCACTAATGAACCATCAAGTTGAAAAGTGCCGACATGACATATCAAGATTTTAGGGAAGCACTCTACTCTATGCCCTCCTAATTTCTGTTACAATTTCCTAAATGCCCTTTACATATATAAACAAGAGTCTTTATTTGCAAAGAAATTTGCACGTATGGGACATTCTTATCAGGATAGAAGAATGGATCCAACTAAATAGGTAAGCGGAAGATTTGGAGTGACTTCTCGTGCAATTAGTATTAATTTTTGAACATTATTTAAATCTGTAAATAAATATAAGTCAAAACAAAGTGATGGACCCTCTAATTGCATTCATGGTTTGTTTGGATTTCAAATTATGGGGATGTTTGGTACTATGGTGTTGTGGGGTCATTTCACTGTCACAAGCACTATACAGGCATTTTAATTTGGGAGATTGACGGTTCACCCAGAGCCAGAATTTGTAGTTTTGCATTGGGTTTTTTTGACTGTGGGTTATGTAAATGTATGTGGGTATGGATGGATAGAGTGTGGATTTTTGACTTTTTGAATATTTATAGTTTTGTAGTTCTACATTGGGTCTGTCCGTACTTCTCCGTATTAAGATAAAAGTACAAATATTTTGGTTGCTCATTACTTTGGGTTATATAAATGTTACTTTTGGAGGAAATAACATAGGGGCATTTTTGTATACGTGATGTCTAACAGCCCTTGTGTATATTAAATAATAAGGTTTTGTTTGGCTCAGTGTTTTCAAAATCGGATTGGACCAAATGGTCAGACCAGAAAAACTGGAAACTGGTTAGTCCGTTTTACCCCGAAACTGTTTTTTGACAAAAAACCATTGATTTGGTCAGTGTTCCGGACGATCGAATCATCAAACCATCGACAAGTACAAAGGTTTTCACCATTTTTTTGTGTTTTTTTATTTTTTATTTTTTTGTCAAAATGGGCCATCCATTTGGACTGGACAGTCAGGTCGTCGACCCGGGAACCAGACCCAGAATGGTTTCCCATCCAGTCTGGTCTTAAAAACCTTGGTTTGGCTGCAGCACAATCTTGTTTGCACTAGTACAAATGTATTAAATTCTGGTTTAATTTTGATTTGAGTTTAACTTTATTTTATTTACACCGCAATAAAAAGAAATAAAAAGCTAAATTTGAAAAGAGTACAAATACAAATTTGTAGAGTGCAAAACCTTATATTTTGCATTATTTTGTATGTATTTGAATTGTACATATTTGTATTTATACTCCTAAATACAAATATGTGCAGTGTAAAAACTTACATTTTGTGTCATTTTGTATTTATTTATATTGTACATATTTGTATTTATACTCCTTCCAAAGTAAGGTTAAAGCTCAATTTGAAAAGAATATAAATACAAATATGTAAAATACAAAACCTTATATTTTATATACATTTGCTCTGTATATAATTGTATTTGTACTCTTTCCAAACTGAGCTTAAATAAATTTTGAAACAAAAATAAAAATAAATGAGAATTTGCTTCCAAAATCATTTTGGCTACCATAATTTTACTTTAGTGCAATAAGTTTTCACTGCAACCAAACATTGCGTGTACTACATGATATGACTGTCCACGTTAACCTATAGGTATATTGTTTGGGTGGCTTAATTTGGACAGGTGGCAAGGGAAAGCAGAGGGCACAGAACGTAAAAGAGTCCTCACTTCTGTGAACGGAATTGATTACAACTTGCTACGAAAAGCAAAGCTTGAGGAATACAACGACCATTTATTTCCTACTTAATTTGCTTCGATCGCTTAGGCTGTGTTTGGTTTGAAGGAAAAAAAGTAGGAAAAGAAAAGGGAAAAAGTAACGACCATTTCTTGTATAGGTTTTCTTGCCTTTTTCTTCCTTTTCCTATCTTTTCCTTCAAATCAAACTAAAGTTTCAGAAAACATGTTAATCAGCGGGATACCCAGAGCTGAAATTCATACCTCGCAGGGCCCGACCAGCCAAGCAAACAGGAAAGTGGTGAATACGGCATACAATTCCCTCGTAAATTTGGATTGCGGTAACAATGTTCTGATCTGCTTTTTCATGCCCAACCACCCAACAAATCAAGCAAGAGAAACAATGAAGAAGAAGAAGAAGAAGAAGAAACTTGCCAAGAAGAAAAGGGGAGGCGGGAAAGCTTTATGTAGAGCATGGATCACAAGTTCATGTTGCTTCTTGTGATTGAAGTTTTGCCATACCGCCTTTGCCGCCTCAACTAAACTGTCGTATCCAGTCTTATCATTTCTTATCCCTGTATATGATTACACATCCCTTTGCTCATCAATTTGTTTGTTCTGATCTTTTGCTTCATTGATGATGATGATGATGACAAGAGAAGAATCATAGAAAGAAAGAAAGGAGATAGAGCCCAAGGAATTGAACCTGACGTAGCTTGGACACTCTGGGAGAGATAATTGATGGCAATCCGATCGAACCAGTTGTCATTATACACACTTTTTGATTGTCTTGCTCCTCTGGTTTCGTCTCTAGGCTTCACCATTACTGCCACAACCACTGGGGGACATTCTCCCTTGTGGTTCAGTTTCCGGCAAAGACCTCCATGTTGGACAAAAAGCTTGGCTTCCATATCTATCGTCCACAGAGAGAGATATGGAGTCTTCCTTCTTTTCTCTCCCAAGAAGGCTCAATATATAAGCTTCCATTTTTGGTGGCCCCACGCCCCCAGCATGGGCCTAGAGAAACGAGAATTTCGCTTTGGGTCCTGGGTGTTGACTTTGCTGTATCTACAATCCATTATACAATTTTGGGTGAACATTAATTCATGTTGCTTCAGTTTATCCTCAAATTGGGCTCCAACTTAGATGGACCCAAGCGATTGCTTAGACAGATTGCGCCTGGATTATTGGGCTTCGGCCTGGTCTTATCCTAAATCCTTGGCTTTTCCTTTGCCCAAGTTGGACTTGGCATTAGGTCTCTGGAGGCCCAAGCCTAGTTCAATCTAACCCAATCCAATTTATCTTGACGGTATAAATGCAAATATGTACAGTGCAAATGCATATAAAATAAAACAAAATACAAGGTTTTGACTTCTACATATTTGTATTTGTACTCTTTTCAAATTGAGTTATATTTATAGGTTTTGCACTCTACAAAGAGTACAAATGCAAATATGTAAAGTGCAGAACCTTGTATTTTATATCATTTTATATGTATTTAAACAGTACATATTTGTATTTGTACTCCTTCCAAATGAAGCCATAGGTGCAATTATAAACTACGATATTTGCATTAAAAGTGAAACGAAACAAAAATATAGAATGTATCAATTATTAAGGTGGTTTCATTAGAGACGTAACACCACAGATAATTGAAAATTGAATTCATGTAATTATGCTTATTTAGCATATCCATCACTCAGAAAACCGATAAATATCAGCACACATACGCACTATATTTTGAACCTGGTTCCCCATGGAGATTAGGTGTTTTCTACAATTCTCAAACGATTAGCGCTTGTACAAACCCAAACAAATCACCAGGACCAAATGGTTCAGGTTTTAACCAATTCAAAATTGAATTCAATTCATTTAAGTCCGACTTCTACATCCATTTAGCCATAATTGGATTAAATAGGATTTGAAAATTTGATCCATTAATAAAATCTGATCAAATTGGATCTCCTGGTGAAAGAACAAAACAAAACAAAAAACCCTTTTAGAATTTTAATTTAAAATTATTTAATAATTTTTTTATTTATAATATATTTTACAAATTGCTGCTTCTTTTATAATTGTTTAATCCGAAGGGAAAACCTACAATAATTGAAAGATATTGTGAATTTTGACTAATACCACTTAATTGCCCATATCTTTTATGATGCCAATTGATTGGATGAGTTTTTTCAATATCAAAATCGGAATGGTATATTCCTCCCCCCTGTTTGGTTCAAATAGGAATAGGAAGAACCAGGAATGGGAAGGAATTCTGATTCAACCCCAATCAAACGGTTGGATCCAACCCAATTCCAGACCCCTATTCTTGCAAACCAAATGGACCCCCAAGGTTCAAAGTATCAACACGTATCATTCTGAGACCCTTTCAATACACCTCTATCGACATGTTGGGCATATCGATATTTTGAGCCTTGTGGACCCTAAGTTCTTTTCCACTCCAGCCATTCGGACATTACTAGCCAACCAAAGCTTCGGCAAATGAGCCCACGATGAAAAACACTGAAGGCATTCAATTTCTCCTTTACCGGCAAAGGGCTTCGCTAGTTTTGGTGAGTGGGTAGTGACTGAGGAACCATTATTCGTCCCAACTCCTACATTCCCAGAGACCCAACCCAGCTCAGACAAACTAGAGATAACATAAACTGAACCATGATTCCATGAACCAACAATGACAGCTTGATAGAACTACAACCCGATATCCAAACTCATGAAACGGTACACAACAAAACTGTGAAGAACATGATCGTGATATTCACATGGGTCTCAATTCTCTCTAAAATTTTAACTTCTGTTATCGTGATACCAAACTCGCTAAAACACTGCATAAATAAAAAGACATACAATATTAAATCCACAGTAACGAGTTTAGGTTGTGTTTGGTTTGAAGGTAGGGAAAGAAAGGGAAAGATGCGGAAACCTATACATTTGAACAAGTTTCCCTACCTTTCCTTTCCTTTCCTTTTGCTTCAAACCAAACACAGCCTTAGTTATTTAACAGGTGAATGTGGTTAAGTAATTCCCATAATGGTAATAACCACGTAAGAGCAAAATAATTCCTGAATGCACATGTAATTAAACATAAAGGTCGTGTTTGGTATCATTGCTGTTTCAACCTCAAGTGTTTTGGGTTGATCAATACAAATTGGCATACAATTGTTATTTGAGGATGTTTATAATTGAAACTGGCATATACATTAAAAAGGCAAAACAAACATGTGCCAGAGGTTGCTTGTATAAACTTCAAATTTGTACCGAACAGTAATAGAACACAACCCAAAACGTTTCAGGTGGAAACAGCAATAGAACACAACCATAATTAATGGAATCTGCTCTTTATGAATCATTAATGCATTTTGAAAGCCCAAACTAAGATACTAGATGCATGAAAAACAAAATTCGAAGCCGCAATTAAGCAAGAAAATGAGATGAATGATCAGACAAATAAATACTCAAATCTTCCCTACCTAAACAATCTACTCGTTCAGATTAGAATTTATCAAAGATGTTAGAGTAAAAAGTACAATTGAGGATCATACTGGATCCTAGCCAAGTAAAACATTGCACAAACAAAACTAAAATAAGTCCACCTAAGCCCCACCAACATACAATCATACATCCTAAACAATGTCTATCAGTGAAGAAATTGGAAGAGGACGAATACCATTAAACCATAATTTCAATCTTTAGATGACTTGTTGATGAGGGACTTGTGGATGTGAGGAATCACACCCCCTCCAGCAATTGTACCCTTGATCAATGTGTCCAGCTCCTCATCCCCTCTGATGGCTAGCTGAAGATGCCTTGGTGTGATGCGCTTCACCTTGAGATCTTTACTAGCATTTCCTGCCAGCTCTAATACCTCCGCTGTAAGGTACTCAAGGATGGCTGCAGAATATACAGCAGCAGTGGCCCCAACACGCCCATTGGCAGCAATTCTTGATTTCAGATGCCGATGAATCCGACCCACAGGAAACTAGACTCAATAAAGAAATGATAGAACAATAGCTCCAATCATTAATAAGGAACAAAACAGGATAAAGATGTAGACCAGTTCAATTTAGTTTGTCATGTTCATACTTTCACCAATATCTGGCATCAAACAGCAAATACAATTGCAGTGCAGAGTATCAACAAGGAAACAACAATCTCAAATACAAAATTACAAGAAAAGAAGCATAAAATTATCTCAAGGCATAAGGAAAGGATTTATGCAGGTGGGTGGTTCAGTGTACTACTCCAAGATCAGCTAAATCTTGGACAGATTTCTTGGCATTTTGCAAAACAAGGGATGAATTGATGTTCTCTCATCCTTGTACCATAAGATATAATATTTTGTTATTATTAATAAAACTATTTGATTTGTTGTTAATCCCAGGAAAAATATCTGAAGCAATAAAGACTCCAATAGAACCCCCCGTCACAAGTCTGGAGTAAAGACATCCTTCCCCACTCATGAGGCTCCAGAATGTCTATGAGAGAAATAAGGTAAGTTCTTTCCAAGCCAGTTATGAGACTCCAAACAATTTGGCAAGAGTGTGTGCCTCTATACCAGAAAAGCTGGAAAGATAGTGCTGTCCAAAATCTTGAATATATAAGGCCAAAATTATTTCCAAAAGGTCTAGGTTGCAAACTGTAAACCAGTTCTGCATAGAACATGACAACCTGAGCTATGTTTCACCAAGATACAACAATTCATTCAGGTAAAAATACACAAGATTTTCATTTGTCCGCCTGCAAAAAAGTGCCTTGAGATTGCAATTACCAAAAGGATATAGTACAGAAAAATAATGCCAGACATGGCACAAGATTTATATGTTGTAGAATGTCAATTTCCTTTTTTTCCTAAAGATCAGTTAGCCATAGAACATTGCCAAATCATGTGAAGATGCCTCAGCATGTATAGAAAAAAGTATTACATTTACATTATTTAGTGCTTCAAAGTTGTGTTGCCCTTTGTGAAGCAAAAGAGAAAAATCCAAGCTTATTGACCATTAGAATTGGAAAATATCTTATCCAAATCACATATATTGTTGAAGCTTGTAATACAGTAATACTTCATGGACATATAAAGCTCAAAAATTACATGATGATGATAATGCAAAAAAGAAAACCAAAGCTTATTGACCACAACAATTGGAAAATATCTTGTCCAAATCGCATATCTTGTTGAACCTTGTAATACAGTAAAACTTCATAGACATGTAACACTCAAAAATTACATGATGATGATAATGAACATATAATTAAATCATGGTAAACAAATGCAGAGAATCACAACCACCATTTATTATAACCAAACTCCAAATCACTCAAATACGACTAACAAAAGCTACACACTTCACTGACTCTCACAACCAAATATTATTATTGCCAAATAATAGAGTGAAACTACCCTCATAGAGATAAGATTCACTGAACTACAGAAAACAAAAGGGTTCAATTATCTCTTTGTTCTCTAATAGAAAATAACTTCTAGTTAACTGTAATTTAGTTAACAACTTCCACCAAACGCAATAAAAGAAATAAATGGCATTCAAGAAAACCCAGCCATTACTTGAAAATGCATACCTAACACTGAGTTGAGTGATTTTTTTTTTATTGGAAGAAGTGACTAATTAATTGGGGGTGTTCACAGGTCAGTTTGGTTCAATTAATTGGGGAATTGGTCACCTGAAACCAACTAACCATTGGTAAAAACCGGTCAGCTCGGGTTGTATCAGTTTGGATCAGCTTATCAATTTGGTCAGTTGGTTCAAAAGATTTAGATTTAAAATTTAGATTTAAGTTTAAAAAATTAAATTAAAAAAAATAAATTTGTAATATAAAATATTTTACTAGGAAATATGGGAAATTTTCCATTTTCCCATATTAAAAAATTACATTTAAAAAAAAAACATATATATATATATATATACACGGTCGGGTCAGTTTACACAGGCCAAACCAAAACCAACCCAACCTCTCAGGTTATCATAATGGTCAAACTAAAGCCAACAAAAAATACTAGAAAACCGACCAGCTCAGGTTGAGATGGGTCCAGTTGGTAAGTTTCACCGGTTTAATGAATAGTCCTACAATTAATATTTAAAAAGTATTACAACAGTATGAACACCCCAAGGTTCCTTGTTTGCAACCACCCCATCACTAAATTGGAATCACCTTCCACTTCTATATGCTGGAACCTTAACTGTTTAGCCAATTTCAATCCATGCAAATTGAGTGATCTTTGACACATTTGAACAAGGCATCCAGTGTTGAGCCCAAAAATCTAGCATTTTTTATATAATGGTTGAGAACTGAATTCCCTTTATTCCTTCTTGCACTTAACTAGATATGAACAATGTTATTAAAATCTTATGATTTACGATCAATTCACGATTTGAATCATGAATCCCAAGGGTTCCAATTTAAATCTTATGCCTGAATCCTTTTCTGCAAAAGTCTTACGATTATTATTTGAATCCTACGATTTGAATCATAATTCTTACAATTTATATGATTCTTGTGATTCAAATCAATTCAATTAAGAATTAGCTCTCTACTTTGTCATTTTATTTGGTTAGTATATAGTTTTGTCAATGGTGACTTGTTATAAAGGCCTTACTAGAAATTGACTTGTTTACATTATTTAAACAATATATTGAGTTTATTTACCATCATATATAGGATACAGAATCATTGTACGTATATTATTTGACTTTCAAATCAAACTTGATTATACCATCTTAGACTTTTATTGTACAAGTGGTAAATTCTACTGATTTAGGTACATACATGGTAGATATGGATTAAAAATAGGGTAGAATCACTTTTCTATATATATTTTACCTTTTAGCATATCTATATTTTATTTTTCACAAGTTTTTAAAAAATAGAAATTATCTTGCAATTTACGATATGATTCACATTTCAATTTTCTCTACAATTAATGATACATATACAAATATGAATCATTAGGTGGTGATAGAATTAAGATTTTAGGATAGTGCATCCACTGTTGGGATGATAATTGGATCCATTTGAAGTTTTGAATGAGGCATAGTCTTGAGTCCAAAAATCTAGCATCCCTTATGAAATGGTTGAAAGTCCAAAGCACCTCTACTTGTTCTTGCACTCCATTAGATCTAGTCCATTGATAAGTGATAGAAGTAGAACCATGCTTCTAGGAATCTTTGCAAGGAAAGCACCTGTCTAAGAACCTGTATTTTACTCATGTTCATTCATTTTTATTAATACAACACATTTTTTAGAAGATAAAGAACTATATCTAAAACTAAAAACCAATCTTTTATGTATGAATTAAAAAAGCAAGACCCTAGCATGGACATGTTTGAAAGTTTCACATGCTTGAATTGTTGACTACTTGAATGTGTTTTACATTTTATGTTTAATTTTATTCTTACATTTTCACTTTGGGTATGCTTTATAAGTTATGTTTATGCATATTAGCTAATAGGCTTTTTAAAACATTTTATTTTAAAAGTTAAATATGCCTTTTTATTAATACTTTTGACTTCTTGTAATTTTTTTGGATATTTTTGAAAATTTTAAAATTTTGCACCTCATTTCAAAAAGGTGTACACCTCAGCTTGCATCTTGTGCTTTTAAAACACTGATTGTAACATGATATTGAATAGCATTATAAATTAAAGCAAAAAAATTATCAATGTATTATATGTTACCACTAAAATGAACTAAAAAATGACTTTGCTAGTGTATATCATAACAAAATGAACAATTATAAAAAAAAAAATCATAACAAAATTAACTAAAAATAGCATGTATGAAACATGAAAATATGATTTTTTTGGCAAGCTGAGCTCAAATAGCCAGACATGCAGCTCAGCTCAGCTTGAATCCACCCCTAGCTATGCCCCTTGTCATAGGTGCTAAGCCCACCCCATGACACTAGCCAGGTTTATGGTCAACTCAAGCCCAACCCTAAGATTTGGGCCAGGTTTATAGTCAACCCAAGCTGCACCCCTACTTAAAACATGGCTGCAATCTCCATAAGACCATAATCAACAACTAGTCATACTGAAATACCCACTAGATTCCACTGTTTGCATATCATCCTAAACCAGTTTTCAGAAATTAGTTTTTCCAGATCAAGGATTGCCCAATCTTGAGCAGCCCCAGGTCAGATAAGAGTATTTTCTCTGTTAATCATTTGAATTCTTAGTTCAAAACCGTCTTAAATTTGTCTAACCTAATTGTGTATTTTACCATGCAGAAGAAGATGAAAGTTAACTTCCAACTGCCCTTATTTATCTTCAACAAAATGTCATTAAAACAAAATTTGTTCTCAGAGTATTGTTCAATGTTTATTGCAAGAACCCATACACCACCTGCTAAACATGGACATTAGATTTCTAACAATTGGAACTATAGCCTCATATACTAAGCAAGAGATATCCTTAACTCATCCCCCAAATCCTGTTCCTTATTAAGGCTTAATAGCGTAATGTAAATCGGCAACTCAGACTTCATCATAATATACTCTTGCAGTATTATTAGCAATTATCTAATTTATTTAACTTAAGTACTAAGGTTCAATAACCGGACTACCATTACCTTTCACGTAAAGAACTTCAAGCTTCTTTAATGTCTTACCCTGACAATCTAATTTACTAACCCAGATCATGGATATAATCTTATGCACAAAACCAATGATGTCAATGGGAAAAAACAGAAAAAAGAAGAATTCGCCATAATAGTAGTTTTGGTTCCAAGCGACTAGAATTTTCAAAAGAATATCCAAATAAATAGACAAACCAAACAAGTCAAAGGGTATCCCTGCAAGAGCAGAGGGAAAGGATGCGTAAGGTATGAACAATGTAATCACGTTTACCTGGAGACCGGCTCGAGAAGACCGTGAAACCGGCTTCTTCTTATCCTTGTCCTTGTTTGCAGCTGTGGTCTTTCCCGCCAGAAGCCCTTTTCCACCTTTACCCGCCATTCTCCGGCCTAAAATCAAAACGAAATGACAGGAAAATATTTTAAAAATAGTAATAAAAGGTATGAGATCTATACACCTAAAAAACAGAACTCAAGGTAGACATCTCCGTTCTTGGTCTCCAGTAAATTTCACCACGCGACCCAGGTCGGACAGGGAAAAAACCACAAAATAAAGACCCCAGAAAGAAGGTAGGAAAGAACGAGTGTTTGAACTCTTAACCCGAAAGGAGGAAATTTTCAGAGAGAAGAGAGAACCCTTCAAGAATTCTTCAGAAAAGATTTTGAAAAAAGGGGGTTTAAAACCAAAAGCCGCTGAAAACCCCAAAAACAAGCGCAACACGGAGGGGAGGGGTGAGAATTGAAACTTTAAACCCTTTCACTAAACAAATCAAAAAAGAAAAAGAAGAAAAATACAGAGATTCCGTAGGCAAATCAAGAACTCTCCGTACCAAACGAGAGAGAGAGAGAGAGATGACCTTCTTTGCTCGCGCGGTGGAAGGAAGAGAAGAGTGGAAGAGAGGAAACCGGAAACTCAAAAAGAATTTGAGTTGAGTTTAGAGGGGTTGGGAGTTGTTAGGTCTGCTCTGTTTACTTGCGGTTTCGGGTTTCGTTCTTTCTATATATATAGATTCCAAAATTTTCCACAGCCGATATTTTGGGTAAAATCAAAAAGGGCGGTTTATCTTTGGTGGGAAGCCAACGCTTAGTGGATTTCGAAATTTTTCCATTTTACCACTTTAACCTTTCTTAGCTCCTAATTTACAAATCTCTGCCCCCACCCCCCAATGTCCTCTCGGCCGTGAACACGCGGCAAGTCTTTGAAATACAGATCCATCAATTGATTTTTCTGTGTTAACACGTGGCAACCCCCAATCAGGACTCAAGCGCTTGCTAAACCCTGTCAAATCAACAACAAATCGGACGGTCATGACTCCACTAGTATTATTAATTATTAATTTCTTAAAAGGTCGGGAATCTTGTAATTTGATTTCTTACCGTCCACTCCAATCCAGTCCCTCCGGGGCGACTAACTGCAACTGCGAACCTCCAAATCTCTGTGCTGAACTCTCAGCCCTGATTACCGTCTGGGGCCACCCCACCGGAATCCGGCCAATTTTGCATTTTTCTAATTTGTAGACTTTCCGTCGCCGGAAACCCCAGAACCAAATAGGAAATCGACTTCGCGGGAACAATGGCGCAAGCTCTCCATTTCGTGATATCTTCTTCCCAATCATCTAGCGTTTCCTTATCGAAGCTTTCCCTGTCGAAGCCTTCTCAATCGCTTCCCTATCGTTTGATCCCCGTCATCTCTACACGGAAGCCGATATCAGCCATGTCGTCGGATCAAGATTCCTCGTCACATAAGGTCTTGGTCTCTGAAAATGGAAAAGGAGGGGTTTTGCCGGCTGCATTACCGCCACAAGCGAAGGCGTCGACGGATTCGAGTGCAATCGAGGTTGACGCGGTTTCGGAGGCTGAGCTGAAGGAGAATGGTTTCCGTAGTACGCGGAGGACGAAGCTTGTTTGCACGATTGGCCCGGCCTCTTGCGGGTTTGAGCAGCTGGAAGCGCTTGCCGTTGGCGGGATGAACGTGGCGCGTTCACATGTGCCACGGAACGCGCGAGTGGCACCGCGCCGTGATCGAGCGGGTGAGGAGGCTGAATGAAGAGAAGGGATATGCGGTTGCCATCATGATGGACACAGAGGGGAGCAAGATTCATATGGGAGATCTCGGTGGCGCTGCATCCGCCAAGGCTGAGGTATTTAGGACTCAAGTTATTGTTAAATCTTTCATTATATGGTGCAATGGAATTCATTACTAACATGGCTTTTGAATTATTAACTATTCTTACTCCATAAATGCATTTTGGTTCAAGGAAGTTCTCGTTTTGTATTTTTTTTTGCTTTGATGTATGATTATGGGTCTTTGTCTGTTTGGCTTTTCATGGATGGATATAGTAAAGCATTTGTCTAGTGGATTTACTGTTCTAAATTTGAATTCGAGGAGTGAATTGCTTTATTGAAGAACAAAAGTATGATTAGTCAACAAGTTGAAGGATGTTGGTAATAATTTGATTCAGCTTATTTTTGGACTGTGTCGTTTCTTCTCAAACTTATGCAGTAGATCATAGACTTATTAATATGACCACGTAATCTTGAATTTGGTTTTGAAACTTACCAGAGTTGCATTTGTGATGTTCATACCAACTGGTTTTATGGTGAGAAAATCAGGTTACAACTGTTCAATTCTACAAGAAAGTAGAGACCACAGAATCTTTTATAACATGTGCAATGTCTATTAAGATGCATTCTTTGCCAAATATGTGTAAATTTCAACAATGTCCAAGTTGTATATGAGTTATCTAACCAAATGTGTTTTAGATATTTCTTAGGTGTTTTGACAGTTATTCTAAGATGCTTTGTCAATATTTAAGATTTGGTGACTGTTTTGCAGGTTAAGAAAAGTAACGTTTGACTCATGAGGGGCTCTTGCCTCCTAATAATTTCAAAATCAATTGGCAGGTCAGAGGCTTCTCTATACACTTTACAATTGGCAGGTCAGAGGCTTCTCTTGCCTCCTGATTGTGGTTTCTGTAGTTCCAGTATTTAGTTTGTTTAAAATATTTGAGTTTATGCTTTGGGTTATTGAGGTTTCTAATTTTGGAGTTGCCAGAGTTTAAGCTCAATCGAGATCCATGACTGCAACATATCTCAGATGGCTCTCTAGAGGTAGTCATTTTTAGTAAAAAGTTCAAAATTTAAAAACATTTTTCACTACAGATTTACTAGATTTTGATGTACATGTTAGACTACTTAAGTATCAGATTGCTTTCTCCTTCCTAGAATTCACTTACCACTGTTTTTTTTTCACATTGGAGATACTGGAAGCTTCTGGTTTTGCCTTGTTGACCAAGGACTGGAGGATACAAATGAAATTGGGACCAAAATTATTTTGGATTGCATGGAATCCAATGCAAGTTAATGCATACGAAAGGGAGGGAGACTTCGGAGTCTATCCAAATAACCTCTTTCTAGATTCATGTAATTAAATGTCCACCTATGAGTTCTGAATGTGCCAACTTGTCTTAATGTAATGTGTTTAAATTCCACTCTCTTGGTTTCCCCCACTTACCATTTCTGAACTGGGGATTATCCTACAAGATTCCCACTTCCTAGACAATCCATCTAACGTGTTCAAACCACAGATTGGACCTATGGAAGCTTATCATCAGAAAAATGTGTCCTACAAGTTCCAGTCCACCTAATAGAAGGCCCCGTTTGGCATGTCTTTCCGCGCGGTCTTTTGGCTGCTTACAAAATGGGAAGACCGAAAATCAGTCTATTCCCGTTTGGCACGCGGAAGATCTCACCGCCAAAAGACGGGGCACCGAAAAGACACGGGAAGCCATTTTGGGCTGATTTCGGGAAGCTCCAAATGAAGCTTCCCGTGTCTTCCACGTTTTAATCTCATGCGGAAACACCCGAAATGACGCACGGAAAGATGCGCATCTGCCAAACGGTCTTCGGGCTGCCCAGATCTTATGACAAAAGCTCAATGCGTCTATTGACTGTCAGAGCTACGAGAAGATCTTCTCAAAAGGACTTGCCAAGCAGGCCCGAAGTTGTTGCCAAAATCTTGTGGTTTAAGTTTGAAGAATAATATTATAATTCTTTGAAACACATATGGTTTCCTGTTTACATTCCTTTCTTTCTCTGTTTCTCATGAACCATTTCCAGTACAAAAACATTTGGTTTATTTTTCTGATAAAAAAAACATTTGATTTATTTCATTTCAGACAACACATTTGATTCACCAAGAATTATATGCTTCAACCCATAATTGGGTCACAATTTTCTATAAATCCCAGTGCCTTGAAATCTCAATTCCATGCTTCTTTTCGCTCTTTTAAGCTCTCGCATAACCATCATGAAGTTTTGCCACATGATGCACTATTCACATGAAGATTAATCATGTTCCCTTCCAGTATTGCTTCCTCTATGGAAGGATTGAATATTTTTACTTCCTATGGTTAGGAAACTGAATATGTTGCAAATATATGCATCCTCACCACATAAGTTTCACTTATTATCCCATCCGTTCCATTATGTTTTTGTCAGCTTGCAAGTGGTTGGTTAACAGTGCTTTTTTGTTGTTGTTTGTCAGATGGTTGTGTTGTACTTCTGCTTTCTTTTCCCATGCAGCTTTTTTCGGTCCCCTTCTTTTCCTTTCAAAGTGTGTAAGGGTTATGCCCTCCTTGTTTTATGTTCTTCCCTTTTGCATACATCAGTAGGAACACTTTGTCGTGGCAAATATCATACTCTTTTTCGTACAGGTTTATTCAAGGAAAACGTTTTTTAAACTGTTTCAAGCTCCCCCAACTTGAAGGTGCTCATACAGTATTTGAACAGCTTAGTGGATGCTCACCGTTTATGTTCCAAAATGATGAACTTGTAATTAAGAAGCTAGGAACTTGTTCAAGGAGAGGAAACAAGATGACATATTGTTGGTTCTAGATAATGTTTGGTCTGAAACAATTACCGAGAAACTTGATTTCAAAATAGAGGGATATAAAATGCTGGCTATATATAGAACTGAATTTAATTCATTTAGGACCACATATTTTTCGAAGATGTTGAATGACAAACATGCCATGACTCTCTTTTGTCACGAAGCATTCCCACAAGATGAGGAGGGGGCGCTTACATCTCTTGTCTTATTTGAATATAAAGCATTTATTTTCTAGCTTTTGAATATAAAGCATCTTCAGGAGATCATGCTTAGGGATAGGAGGGGGTGCTTAGGGATGTTGAGGGCAGCTTAAATGCTTTATATTCAGGCCCAATTTGTGTAAGAGATCTTTTAAGGGCTGAAGTCATGGCAATGCTTGAGAGAGTATAAAGGGAAAGAAATTTGAATATTAGGAAACTAATCATTTAAGGAGATTCCAAGTTGGTTATGGATTGGCTACAAGGTGAGGAGGCAAAATTGTGGATTTACAATAATGAAAAAAAAAAAAGAAATTCAAATGGCGGACAAAAGACATAGAAGTGAGGTTGCATTGGGTTAAAAGAAGTGCTAATTCAATTATCAAAAAAAAAGAAGAAGTGCTAATTCCCAAAGAAGGGGTGGGAAGGGATCAACATTTTTGGTGCAATTGTAAAAGAAAGAGTTTGATAAGAGAGTTTATCTCTCTATGACCATATTCTCAATTTGTATTCACTGTTTTTCTCCATTAATGAAATTCACAAATCACAGTTACTGATCAAGAAAAGTTCTTTCCATATCCCTTTGAAGCATTAAATGCAAAATTAAGCTTGTGGACAAATGCCTTAGAAACAAGAGGTTTTAAAGCAAGTAGGACTAAAACAAAATATATGGCATGTAAATATAATAACAATGGGAGTGCAAATTAGGATTGGAGACCAAGAGATAATAACTCAATGTGGCCTTTTTGAGTATCTTGGTTCAATAATTCATAACAAGGAGAGGTTGACGAGGATGTTTCCTATATAATTAGAGTGGGATGGGCAAAATGGAGGGGTGCATCTGAAGTCTTACGTGATAAGCAAATATTATTTAGACTAAAAGGAAAAACAAGGGA